ATCGGGCTCTTGAATGGTGGGAGGGACCTCTTCAACGATGACAGTGGCCTCTTGAACGGTGGGAGGGGACTCTCGAGGAATGATAGGGGCCTCTTCAACGATAGGAGTGGACTCTTGAGGGATGATAGGCGAGTCGGGCTTCTTCTTGCGGTGTCTTCGCACTATTGGGGTATACGGAGACTTAATAGCACGTGCACGCCGTCTGATGCGTGAACTCTGTCGTGCAAGAAAAACCCGACGTAAAGCATCCACCTTATCGGTCCGCTAAATAAAAATACAAATATCAGTAAATAAACAGACATGATATTTAAACAGTGAAAACAAAGATAAATATATTTCAAACTTTCAACCACAAGACAAAACAAAGACAAATACTAACTTCACAGTGTTAAAGTAAAAAGTTTAGCAGTTTTGGCAGCAACCGAATAAATTTACCAAGCAATCTAAGTGAAATGGTTAATTTAAGTGAAATTACGAGTAAATTTATCATCAAGTTAAATATGGAAAATCTTAAACTTACCTCGTTGCGTAGAGTATGAACCTCATTCTGCAACAATACTACCATCTCACGTAGAGCGGCAACCTCACCACGTAAAGTAGACACCTCCACACGCCATGCACCATCGTTATCGCGTAGAGTACCGATCTCCTCACGCAAGGCATTGACCTCATCACGTAACTCCCTTGACTCATCCCGTGGAGGTGGAGAACAGGGAGATAGAAGTCGTGGCATCTTTGTCGGTCGCCTATCATGAGGTGATGGTGGAGAAGAGACTCGATGATGTGACGGGATAGGTGATGGCTCTCGTTGTAGAGGTGTATAGTCGGGTCGATCAGGTGATGGCTCTGGGTGAGGTGATGGCTCTCGAAGTGGAGGAAGTGGAGGCTGCTCATCATTCGTGCCATCAAAAAAACGCTGACTAGCTTGCCACCAATCAGTGGCAAGCTCAGCCTCCGTGGGTGTCAGTCTCATTAATGGAGTGTTGGCCTCCTAATAATATAAAAACTAAAACAAAGTTAAACGTCTACTATTAATAACTTGTTTATATATGATAGTATTTGTGTTAACTTACATTATTTATTGTCGCATATGGTATTAAGTCTTCCCAATCCAACATACGTTTCCTCTTCCAGGAAATAGCCCTAGGAATATCATCTGAGGATTTTAATGCATATGTCCGCATGCTGGGGAAAGCCTCGAATATCCAAATCTACAAACAATATAATAACAAACATTAGTAATTGTTAAATAATTAATTATAATTTTAAAAACATTATATAGAAATTCTTACCTTAAAGGCCCAAACAAAGCCTGACAAAGTGTATTTCGACCCATCGCCCCGCAAACTTTTGCGGTCATCAAAGGCAGACGACAACTTAGTCCAGGTAGCTTTCCATATATACGAACCCCACGGAAACAGATTTCATGCATTTAGGTCATCTACCAATAATATTAGCTCCTGAGGAATAGGTTGTCTGGCCTCTCTGCCTAGAAAGCCGGCATACAAAAGTAGTAGAAGGCATACTCGGACAACATCGACGTCATTCATCCGAGTAAAACCATCTTTCTTATTAAACAATTTCTTCATGTCGTCGACGTGTAAGTTCGGCTTCTCTATTGACTCATCAGGAAAAACCCTGGATAACCATGATGGGCGGGTGATATGACGAGTGTACCGGCCTACATCATCGTGTCCGAATCGTAGACCAGTGATTAAGCAGAACTCCTTTCGCCCAAAACAAGTATACGCCGGTGGAAAATGAAACCATATCTCTTCCTCACCACGTTGTATACTGTCAGGTAGATCGCTAGTCATGGTCTGAAGCCACAAATGGGTCAAACTAGCATCTCCACCCGGATGTTGTACTCTCAGCCATGGCCCGAAGCAGGTTTCTTCAAACAATTTTCTTTGTGCAGGTGAAAGCTTCGAAGCAATTGTAGTGGCTAGGCTAACTTTATTCCTTAATGTCAATGAAGCCGAAAAAAATTTCTACAAAAAAACAATAAACATACCAAGTTAGATATACCAAAAATTACACTGTCAAGATATACCAAAAATAAAACAATAAACATAAATAGTAGTTTATTCTTGAAACTAAAATTTGCAACACTGTTTTGTCTTTTGGTTGAAATGAAAATCGCAACGAGATAATGAGAATTGCAACGCGGAAATGACTATCGCAATGAGAGAATCGCAACGCGAAATGACTATCGCGACGAGAGAATCGCAACGCGAAATGAAAATCGCAATGCGATTTTGGTTTCGCGTTGCGATTTTTATTTCGCGTTGCGATAGTTATTTCCGCTTTGCGATTTTCATTCTCGAAACTATTCTTCTTCTGCATTACTTCAACCAAAAGACAAAACAAAGACAAATACTAACTTCACAGGCTAAACAGTTTAGCAGTATTGGCAGAAATCGAATAAATTTAATAAGAAATCTAAGTGAAATGGTTAATCTATTATTGAAATTACTAGTAAACTTATCATCAATCTCAATATGAAAAACCTAAAATAATGCAAAAATTTCAAAATAAAAATAAAAAAAACTAACCCTCGGAGGTTGATTTTCCATTTCTGAATGATTGTGAGGGATTTTTGACTGTGAATGGTTGTGAGGGATTTCGCCGGCGATGGGGACGGAAATCTTCGGAGATGGGGACGGATTTTGCCGTAGAGAGTGAAAGATGGAGATGGGACTGAGTGTTGTGTGTTTGGGTTTGAGGTTATGAGTTGCGTGCGATTACTGTGGACGGTTCATTTTCCGATTTATTAAGAAAAAATACGTGTTTGGAATTTGAAAAAAAAAATACGCGTTAATACGAATGGCGCTAAGTAAATCGCGTTGCGAAAGTCAGTATCGCGTTGCGAAAGTAAGTATCTCGTTGCGATTTTTTATTATCGCATTGCGATAGTCAGTATCGCATTGCGATTTTCCCAATTCGCGTTGCGATTTACTTATTCGCATTGCGAATTTCCCAATTCGCGTTGCGATTTACTTATTCGCATTGCGAATTGGGAAAATCGCAACGATACTGTAGACCATCGCAACGCGATTTTCAACTATCGCATTGCGAAAATGCAACGCGTATTTGCGATAATGGAGATCGCGTTGCGAATTAGCGATCGCATTGCGATTTTGTTGGTCATTTTGGCAAATCCGGAAAAAGTTGGTTAAAATCGTATATTATATGGGATTTTTGGTCACTGAGGTTATTTTCTCTTAACTGTTTCCCTTTCATTGGCTGCTTACTTCTCTTTTTTAATTTTTTTTATGAAATAGTGATTTGTAAACTTATTTAAACCACATAAAAATTTTATACAGAAACCTAGGCATATAAACGAATCGAACGCACACGAACGGAGGTATGTTCATGTTCATTCATTTAATAAATAAACGAACAGGAATATAAACGAACAAATTTTTTTTGTTCATGTTCGTTTATTAAGGAATATAAATTGTTCGTGTTCGTTCATTTAATAAATAAACGAGCATAAACGTTGAAGACTCTACCTTTCATTGTTCTTTCATGAAAAATAGTCGACAATGCAAATCAACCAAATCTACGTTATTCTAATAAATTCGCCGGCTAAAAGTTTTGTGACATCAATGTCAGACTTTAGTGAGGTTTGTTAATAATGGTCTTTTCCGTTGGCAGAGTATAAACTTTAACAGCATGAAGATTTCGAACGGTACAAATTGCACTACAAGACAATAACATAGATCCGAAATCCCTTCGATGCTACATATGGTAACTGATATTATTGTTAAACTACAATTCAAAATTTTAACGTATCTAAAGTCTACTCCACAACTAAATGTTACACAAGAACTATGAAAACAAAAGTTCATTGTCAAAGTGTATTTTCTACTTATTAATGGTTTTTCCTAGAAAACTCATTACTTCCGCTGTTACACTCTTTTTTAGAAATTGCATAAAAACTTTTGTTTTGTTTTCTGACAAATTCTATTATATTTTTCTCTTTACTGATGCTCATATACTTCCGATTGTTACCTTTATCTTCCTATCTATTTCTAGAAAGAAGTATGATGTTTTCTTGAGTTTTAGATGTGAAGATACCAACAATAACTTTATATATCAATTATTAAGCCAAATAAAACAGAGAAAGAGATTAAAACAGACCTGTAAACTTCAGATTGTACTATAATATAACTTGTTTTGAAGCTTTCAATGATCGTCTCCACTCTCCAGTGAATATTAGGGTTTGGGAAAAAAATGAGAAAAATGAATATAGGTGCGAGGTATCTCACGGGTTAACATATTGGATTTAATCTCCAAATAAAATTGGATTAATTATAGAGTTGGTCATCAGAATATCAGATTAATTAATATTTTTAAGATACTTACAAATTGGTCACCAAAATTGATTTAAGAAGATTATGTTAAACATAAATGAATGAACATAAACGAACATAACCGAACGAATATAACTGAACGAACATAACCGAACGTTCACGAACGTAAATGAACGAACGATACCTATGTTAATGTTCGTTCATTTAATTAAACGAATACAAAATCTTGTTCATGTTCATTCATTTAATAAATAAACACACATAAACGAACTTCCCGCCGCCCGGTTCATAAATGGTTCAATGAACGTTCAGTTCATTTATAGACCTGATACAAAAACCAAATATAAATATTAATTTTTAAATAAAGCGTCCAATATGTGTCAAACAGAACCAGCCACGTGGACAATAAATAACTTCCGCTATCACTCATCGGCGTTTGGATTTCATCGCAGCGCCACGTCACCAAATCTAATTCATTTTTAGATCTGATACGGTACTGTTCATTAAGAAGTCCATAGGCCACCTCAAATCTAGTCGACAATGCAAGTCAAAACTCCTAAATCTCATCATCAATCGGCCCTAATTCAATTATGATTCCACCGTATGATACCAAAGACCTAACCACACATACACAAGCTTATCAATTCTCACCATCTCAATTTCGTATATTTGTCTCCTACCGGATTAAAAATCTACGCCCGAACACCAGATAACCTAACCAAGTAGAATTTGTTATCGGGTTCTTCAAATTTCCGGGAAAATGGCGATCTCAGTTTCGGCATCAGCAACTGTTCCTTCGCTTAATCGACGAAGCTCAACTGGGTTACCCCCTTATTATTGTTCTTCCAACTTATCTTTCTCGTCTTCTCTTCAACTTCAACCCATTCGATTCGTTAATAGACCAGTTTCCTCTCGCTATCGTTCTTTTCAAGTAAACGCTTTTACACCTTCTCTCTTTACTATTTTTGTTACTATTATGTAATAATTATCTTTTCCTGTTTTGTCTTTTCAATTTCGTTACATGAATTGAATGCGAACATCGGATTTTTTTAGACTCAATTAGTTCATCTTATTAAAGTTAAGGTTAAATCAATTAGTGAAAACTTGTTGCTGTTTTCGATGTTTATGTTAAGTTGTAGGTTAAGTAGAAGATGTTTTGTAGAATAATAATTTTGACAAGTTTGGCGAAATGATTTCCATAGGTTGAAGCAAAGAAGCAAACATTTAAATCATTGGATGATTTGTTGGCGAATTCCGACAAGCCTGTGTTGGTTGACTTCTATGCGACCTGGTAACTTTTTCTTTAAAAAAAATATACTTGAACGCGAACCCTAATTCATAAATGTAGATTTCCTTTTGAAGGATTGAAATTCTACGAAAGAGGTATGATTTTGTAGGTGTGGACCTTGTCAATTCATGGTTCCAGTCCTCGATGAAGTGAGTGCTACTCTGAAAGATAAGATTCAGGTTGTGAAAATCGACACCGAGAAGTACCCCAGCATTGCTGATAAATATAAAATACAAGGATTGCCCACTTTCATCATATTTAAAGATGGGAAGCCCTTTGATCGTTTTGTAAGTTTTATTTATCTGCTCACTTGAACATTTCTTTCTTAGAAGATAAGCCAGTTTTTATGAAGTGGAAGTGCAAAAGATTATTTGAGGGTTGCTGCTATTTGGGCCGAATTCTGTAATATGAAAATGGTTTGATTGCTTCCAACAGCCTCGACAATGATATTTTTGATCAAACTCGAGCCATCTTTTTTATGCGATTGATCGGAGTGAATTGTAAAATACTTGGGATGCTTGTCCTATGTAGTTATTGTGAAATTGTGAATCATTAAGGTCAATATATATGATTCTTCCCAGGAACTCTGTTTTTGGCTTTCGTATAGGCTACTTGGTTTTAACCAATAGAGCTGACATTTATTGCTTGGAATAGGAGGTTTATTTTGTGTAATCTTTGCAGTTTATCCCACTCATAGACTGCACTGATCACGAATTTCAGTTTCTTCTTTGAATTAATTTCTGGTGTTTCTAAATTTATGTGCAAGTCATCTAGTTTTTAATCCAACTATTTTTTACTTGTTCGAGTTCTGATCATCAGGAGGGTGCCTTGGGTGCTGATCAGCTCATTCAACGCATTGAAACTTCGTTAAGTGTCAAGCAATAGCCCCGGTGAGCCTCAGATATCTTACCGAAAGAGAATTGTTCCCCTTCACTTGGGTTAGAATACTGGATTGGAGTATTGAAACTGGTGATGAACTCACATTGTAATCCATATACCTTACTCGTCTTTTTTTATGTAGATGATTTTTTTATATGCCATTGAATAAATTCTTGTTGTTGGCCATTAATTCGAAGATCTTTCCTTGGTAGAAAAATACAATAATATGATGATATTTAAGCTGACCTACCAATTTCAAAGCTTTCACCGTCGCATATGTCAATGCGGAATAGATTGATTACATTAATAAAAGACGTTACTCCCACTCCTTTCGTAATCACAATTGCATCTGTTGACAACCACCTCACCATAAGTCCATAACCCACAATCAACAAATGTTATCATAACCACTACTTACAACAATTTCATAAATTATGTACCAATCATAAATTTAGTGACATTAACTTGTTATTTTCTGTCCTTTTAACAATTCTTAACTAGGGGAGAGGAGAACTTTGCTCTCAAGGGTATTAAACCCATAACTTATGAGAGAGGAGGTGTCATATGAGATTTTAATCATTTGTTTTAGAGATTATTGACAATGTGTTATTTTCGTATCATGCAATTTCATCTTTGATTGAGATACACTTAATTTTTGTATATCACATTGGTTGATTAATACTCATCTCATGATTGAGTCTGAAAATTAATCAGAAAATGGTATTAAAATGAGTATCGGTCTTTTCAGGGTGATATTTTAGTAAAAAAAAAAAATCCTAAGAAATCACTAGACGCTGGAATTAAATGCAGGAAGCACAAGAAGCATTGTCCAACGAACCCCACTCACTCCTTTCCCACTATAAAACCAACCTATGATTCTCCACTCTCTATAGATTTCCCCTTTCTTACTTAGACGCACCAAATGGCAAGCTCTGCAGTCAAGTTTATGGCTTTGTTTCTGATTCTATACTATGTGGGATCGAGTTTGGCGGCAGAGCACACAGTCGGTGACCAGCTTGGTTGGCGACCGCTTGTTAACTATTATAGTTGGGTTCGTAGCAAGTCCATTAAGCTAGGCGACACGTTGGGTCTGTGTTTCCTTTTCCATTCATTTTAGGAAACATATTATTTTGTGCTCATATCTGCTAAAACTTGATGCATATTTTATTTTCTTTATGTTGATTGAATAGTGTTCAACTATGATGCTGCCAAAGATTATAGCGTGGCGGAGGTGACACAGTTTAAGTTCATCGCTTGCAATGCAAGTAATGCTAAGTTCTTCGACGAAAGCGGGAACAGCACGGTGACCCTGGTCGAGTCCGGCCAGCATTACTTCATGGCCGAAGGCCATTGCTCGGATCAAATGGTGTTTTCGGTGCTGGTTTGAGGGGGGAAGTGAAACAGACACTTTTTTGCATTATTAGTTCAATAACATATATTTGAAATCTTCAAATTTAACTATGAACTTGTACGTTATAAAAAGTATTAATGAATTTATGTCATTAGAAGTAAAGGAATCCATATCAAAATAAATAAATAAATAAATAATCTTTGCATTGCAAGTCCTTTACAAATTATGTTAATATATATGTATTAATTAAATAATAAATATTTGTTTTACAAGTCATTAATAATTTATTTTAAAAGAAAATTATTATTATATTACATTGCAAACTTAATTAACGAAGATGTAATTTTTTTCATTCATAATAAATATAAGAAATAAATAACTAATATTAGCATGAACCAAATGACTTTATTGGTAAATGAGTTATTAATATTTTTTAATTCCGGGTTCGATTAATATATATATATATCCTCTTTTAACTCTTTTTTGAAATTTTTTCCTTGATAATATTTTAGCCATTCTTTTCAATACCCAATAGGCTCTGAATGGGCTTTGGGCTACGCCCTTTACACTGTCACTTTAATGATTCCTAATGTCACAACTATTACACTCCAACGATAAGAATCTACTACTTCAATGTTTATAAAATTCAAAACACCAAATTTCACCAACAATGATAAAAGCTGGTCTTAAAGCAAAATTAATATTAATTATATTTTTCCTCACACTTTATATCACTTTAAAATATTTTATCTTAAAGTTATTTATAAAGTTTAGTAATAAATTGTCAATTCTAACCAATACTATTTTTAATAAAAAAATGACAATTGTTGAACAAAAATTAATAAAATAATTTTAATTAATCATTAAAATTATGGTATATTTTTAATTAATATAGAGTGAGTGTGAAATAATATTTATATTAAAAATTAAACATTTAATAATGTTTGAATTAAGAGCTCTAGTGACCTTGTCATAATTAGAGACACCTTCTTTTGGGAAACAACTTTGTGAACAGATAAATGACAAATCAGTGCTCACAATCAGTTCCCATACACCCAAAACTAAAAAAAAGGAACATTTGGCCCACAGACCACAACACATGTAATTCCTATGAGCCACTGAATCACTGATATCTTATCTTGAGGTTTCTATGATATCTGATTGGGCGGTCGCATTACCCTTTTTCCAATTATTTTTTTTGGATAAGTCCTTTTTCCAAATTTATTTTTGGTTAATCAAAATATTTTCGCCACCGACAATCATTCACCCAAAGGTCATAATAGTAGAGATGGGACCCACTCTCTTTCGTGTCTTGTCTGCGCGTCGTGGTTTCTTTACCAAAGGATTTTTTCAGTACTATGATTTGTACCAAATGTTTACTAAATGCCACGTGTAAAACAAACTCATCAACGCACGTGGCAAAACGTATTCCCAACTCCTTGATGTGGATTTCTTTTTTACTTTATGAATCTTTTCTAATTTATTAATTTTCGAGGTAAATACTATAACTCCTTCATTACAGAAAATTATATTCATATTATTAGATTAAAAGTATTATATTACATCATATTATTATTTCTATAATATTAAATAATACATTGACATATTTACAACTTAAAGAAATAATAATAATTTATTAAATTTATAATTGAATGAACTTAAGCACACACGTGTGTATACACACTATATATATAATTGTTTTTCTGAAGTGATCAAAATAACAAATTATATATGCAAACTATTTCATGATCAAGTAGACTATAACACAGCTAAGGAATGACATCTTGAGGAAGCTTCGAGAATAGTGGAGAGTTGTGTATCCAAATATCGTATGTCCGACGAAGAGCAGAATGAGATAAGAGAGATGAGAGATCAAATGTCCAAGATGATGGATATAATAGTTATTTTGGCCAAAGGAAAATAAACTTTTACAAAATAAAGGAAAGAGCTCGATGAAAACAATCTCGCGATGTCAAATACACAAGGGACTACTTTAGAACAAGATGATCCTAGCCAATTTGAGAAATCACACACAATCACTATTCGTATCAATAAGTTGTCTTAAGACACCAATGAAATGGTGACAACTGTCGACATTTAGAAAGATTAAAGGAAACCATTCAATCATATCTCATTGGTATTTGAGAGTCTACTCCCAACGTCAGGAGAAATAAACCTGGAGACTCCAGTTCAATCCAAGCCAAAAGGTGACTCTCATTTTGATTCTATCCTTATATCATATAAGGAGTTGTATGATAAGCTTTTAGAAGCCCGAGATGTGGCCCGCATTATGTGAAATCTTGGCAACCTCCATATCCAAATTGGTATGACATCAATGTTCGTTGTGAATATCATGTCGGAGCTCAAGGACATTCCATTGAGAATTACACCACCTTCAAGCATCGAGTCTAACATCTTTTGAATCATGGAGTATTGGAGTTTGAGATGAAAGGTTGATCGCTTGGAAATGTATATGTTAAGGCAAGCAAATCTGTGTAAGTATACACAGTCGAATCAAGTAATAAAGGGTAAGTGAATTATTGTCTCCTCAGGGTTTGGTAGGACTTTTTAAGTTTCACCATAACTAGAATTAGTTGTCACGAGCTTGTTCCTGAAGTCTTGTCAAACTAGAACACTATTAGTAATTTAAATAAAATAAAACAATAGAGTATGATTATTGAAAAGTTTGGTCGAGGCAAAGTAAATATGAAAAATTACCGAATTAAAATAAACAAGGCAAAGACAAACGTTGATTCAAATATATTCAAAACAAACTCACATATTCAGACTTTTCACATAGCACTCATGTTAGTCTTTTGTTATGAAAAGAAATTATTCTAAGTCTTGAATGATTTGTTATGATATGCTTAAGCTGTCCGACAGGATTACTGAGTATTCTTAGACGGTTGTTATTGCAATACTACTCAGCATGAACTACAACCCTTGGTTTGTCAAACTGTTGTTGTAGCAATACCTCTCAGCGTGAACTATAAGCGTTGTTTATCCTACTCCAATATCTATCCCTTTTAGTCGATTGAAACCCTCTCCTTATCTCTAAGGTAGTCAGGTTAAAACATTACCATCCTGAATCCATTCCATTGTTCACGTAGATCTATATTAATTCTCTCGAATATAAGAATCAATGTCTAGATAAACGAAAATCTCTCGAAGTTCTTACAATGTCAAGACGTGTTTCACCTAGACCCCAGACAATCTCTCGAAGCTCTTACAATGTCAAGGCAAAATATTTAAACAATGAACAAAATAGTCATGAGCAAAATCATATCATTCATAGAACATAAAATAATTGTCTCGATAAAGCAAAAACTAACACCAAGTAAATCAATTCATGGTGCTGTCAAGAAGTCATCCAAAGTTATCATCGTTTAAAACAACCCCAAAGTAAAGTTAAGAAATTAAGAACAAAAGAAAAACGACTCCCAAACAGGGGGCTCTGTCATGACATCTTTGACCAGTACCACATCTACCCTGGCGGCCAGCCTCTCTCGAGGCCTGACCGTCGCTTTACTATAGCTTGGCTATGGAGGACACTAAGGACAGTTGGGTGGGAAAACGGTGGAAAAGCACTACATTTTCTCATTTCATACTTCAGTTAAAGCTCTTCTTGCTTCATTGCCTCATCTCTTTGGCGGCTGTGACTGGGTATTTATAAAGGGAGATCTCTTAGGGTTTCGTATAATTAAAGATTCCTTAAATACATATGTTTTCTTATCCAAGCTAAAAAAAGGAAAGGCCACTGGATGTTGTCAGAATCTTGGGGGCTTGATTGCACGTGAGGGTAGTCGTATAGCTGCATGTGACATAAGCAATTCGTCAGATATGCTTCGGACTTGCAAGATAAACCTTGCCTTGGCGAGATAAATCTGCTCCTCACTGTCTTTGTCTTTTGTGTTCCACTGGCCCTTGCAAAATACATTGTCACGACTAAATTGTTCTTCCTTAGTTAATTTCCTGTACACACACAATCCAAACAAGCCCTTTCTCTTCAGCAGCACCAGTCAAACCAAATATATCTTGCCTAGGCAAAACTTATCCACCACATGCAATTATAACCTAAATGCAACTAAATGCGATTAATAAGCTATGATCACTTTGTTTAGACGAACAATAACTTAAGTAAAAAAACTAGAAATAAAGTCTTTTTATGGAGTTATCAAAGGTCGACCTAGTTTGGTAACTGATTGTCCTATTAAGACAGAGTCAAAAGTTTTCAAAGGTAAGGGTATCAGTGGGGGCATCCAGGAGGAAGAATGTTTGCTAAAGTACGAAGCTAAAGTGCTTTATTTGAGGATTGAAAATGATAAACTGAATAGAGAGATGGAAACCATGTGTGATTATTTTCAAAGGATTAGTCAAGCCTTCAAAAATATTGGTATAGGAAATACCCCAGAGGAGTGGGCAAAAGGGGTCACTAAACTGAAAAATGATGCTGAACAATGGAGAAAAATTGCATGAAGGTCGAACCAAAAAGTTCTCTTATGATTTACATATTGTAGAAAAAAGGTACAATACAACCATTAATGATTTGTGAAGATGCCAAGTCAAAAATTAGATGTTGAATATATCCATAGCCAATATAGAAACTTCATATCAACGCCACAAGCGTGAGAATGATGTTGAGTAGAAGACACTAAGGCCCAGAACAAGACATTTATGAAGCTTGTAGATGATTATAGAGATATTGTACAAGAACTTTATAACCACAAAGACTTTCTTACAAGGAAAAATGAACAACATTGTCTACAACTCCAAGAATTGACACATAAGATGGAGGAAAAAGACGATGTCATGAAAAAATCTATTACCTAAGTAAGCAATGTGGCTCACAAATTGGTTGATTTAGCTGACTTTGCAAAAGAATTGAAGCAAATTTACAACTCAACACCCAAGCATGAGTGGAAGTTAAATTGGCTTTTAAGAGAGGTAGTGAAGTTAGGAGTTAAAGTTATCCCTTATATGTAAATTTTGTTTGATGTACCGAAACCTTTGTGTTCAATGAAAGTTGTTTGAATATGGTCACTCTAGAATGACACCTTTTGCATACATGCATTTGCATCGCATTT